ACACTATATAGTATGTTTAACTTTATCTTATATTCTAGTTTTCACATATAGCATGACAAAATGAACACTCCTATCCTCTTAAAACAGTGGAGAGCCAGTCTCTGCCTACACAGATACTTTCCAATGTGTAGGCATATTTAAACTCAGACCTTAGTATTTTCTTTCTTTTTTGCAATCACAAATAAAAACTATATAATTCCTAACATACATTTCTGTTGTCTATGTTCTGAGAAATTGTGACTTTTGAATGCACAGAAACACTTTTTACAAAATGTTTAACAACCTGTATGCCATAGGACACTTTTAAGAATATGTATAAACTGAGAATTTACTTTTAACAGTCCCTAAATATGGGTTAAGCTAAAAATCAATGACTCCTGCCCCCAAAAAATGAAAAAGAAAAAATGTGTTTCTTGAGAGGCCAGGTCCAGTATCTCCTGTGTCCACTTATTACCTGAATTCCTCTTAAAATAAATAGTGTATTCTGTCCCTTTCTCTACTTTCCTGCTTGGATTTTGTTTTCATTTCAACCTTAGGATACTATGTAACTTCTCCTAGTTGTTAATATTGTGCAACATCAGTTGGTCAGTTTTGTCTTTTATTTTTGTTCTGATGTGTTATTTAGATATGGAAAGCAAACAAACAATGATGTATCAAATATTCTGATCCAAAGGCAACGTTATGCTTATTTTTCTTCCATTTTTTTATTTTTGTTTGAAATGTCCTTACAGTTGCTGACTTAAATAATTATGCAAGCTTATTTGTTTTCTTTAGGTTTCATTCACTTACTTAATTCATTAACTTTCATCATCACTGAGGATAACTGTTTATGTATGAAATAAGAAAAAAAAACATATGCTTTGGGTTTGGTTTGCCTGAGCACCATTTATTGAGCAATCTGCCCCTCTTGATTTCCATATTGATCTTTCCTCACGCTTTCCTTATCAAACACTTTTTCGTTTTGTTCTTGTTTACTTTTTCAGACAAAATCTCACTGTGTAACCTTGGATGTGGCTATGTAGACCAGGGTGACCTAGAACTCACAGAGATCCTTCTGCTTTTGACTCTGGAGTGCTGGGATTATAGGCATGTGTCACCACATAGAGCTCTGAATGAACACTTTTGTGTTTGATGAAGTATTCTTTGAATCTCTACTGGAAGCTTTGTTACTAATTGTGTTAACAAAAGAGGTCTATGCCAGAGCACAGTTATTTCTCATAGCAAGGAAAATAGATGGTGAAGTTTGTTATAGCATTGCGACTTTAGACAAAGAATGTCAAGAAAACATCATCATAATTTATCTCAGACTTTGATTTATAGTATTTTGTAACTGAAAAACATCATAGCAAGTTGATACATATACACGTCTTTATATTGCAGTACAATACATTAAATGTGGTCTTATTTTACTTGGAACATTTTCCAGTAATTAATACATACTAAATCTGCCACGAGTGTCATGCCAGTCACTACTTCTGCAAACACATCACAAATTGCAGTGCTATGTAATTCTTAAATTCATTTCTGTATGTATTTATTTAGTATTAGTGATAGAAGATATCCAATACACATTTGCCAAATAGGGGAAGAGTGAATGAAACATACTACTACTTAAATAGAGTGCTACACAAATGGCATAGTATTAATAACTGCCTCGGAAAGTTTAAGAGTAGCTGATGCAGGAACAAATAGGTGCTTTTGATTCACAGAACTCTTGAAAGATAAATAGCAGCCAAGTATGATGTGTGATATTCACGACAAGACCTGGGAGATGAATAGCAGGCATGTGTGATGTGTGACTTATTTATACTAGTAAGAGATTTATAGACTAGGTGTCTACTAACATACTTGAGTTCCAATTCTGCACACAGCTGGTCTTTTGTCACGATTATCTTTGTTGTCACTCTATGATAAATAATAGGTTGTCAGAACCAAAATATGTAAGAAACATGAAGACAGAGGGCCCAAGTATTACACATCCTTCTAGTTAAGACATTGATGCAATTCCAATTGTATGAGATACAAAATTTAGACATACACATGTATGAATAAAGATTCCTTTTCCGAACATGAGACCTGCTCTTGTGGGTTAAACAGGGTTTCAATAAATCCCTGTAGTGAGCTATTGATTTCCAATGTCTCAGAGTGTGAGCATGCATGTGGAAAAATTCTTTACTTAAGGATTATATTTGCTTATTTGTTTTTTGTTTGTTTGTTTTTTCTGGCAACCTCAGGAGCAACCATCCCAGGGCTTAAGTGTGTGAGGCAAGCAATTTATCCTATTTTCCAAACCAGAATGAAGTTAGGAAGAATTCACAGGGTGGAATGTAATCCATTATGACTGGTATTCACACAAGAAGAAGAGATATGAACTCAGACGTCTACAGAAGGAACACAATGACAAGACACAGAAAGAAGATGTGTCACATAGTCTAAGTCAAGAGTCCTCAAAAGAAACCAACCCCAATATCATCTTGATCATTGACCTCTAATCTGTCTAATTGGGAGACAACAGATTTCAGTTGTTAAACTATATGGTCTGCCACTCTTGGTGTTAGCAATCCTAGAAAATTAATACAACATAGAAGTACGAAATGAAGTAATGGACAGTAGAGGCAGGAGAGATGTGGAAGAATAGGGAACAAAACTGAAGAGAAATTTAGGAATAGAGAAAGGTCTTGGGGAGTGAACATGACAGCTGAACAATGCATGCATATGTGGAAAGGCCACAGTAAGCCCCAATAATTTCTACAACTGATATATCTAAAATACAAAAAGTTAAAATGAAGACTAATAAATTCATAAACTTAAGGAATTAGTGAGACCATATGTTTGAAAAGGCTTTGAATCATTCTGTCCCTTTCTGTATATTCAATTTTAGAACAGATGACTCATACTGGCATACATTGGTTGAGTTAGATCTGATCCATCTTTGTGGTAAAACACCATCAAAGAAAGTTGCCTTATTAGCTGATTCTTCTAATTCATCTCACCTTCAGTGGATAAGGAGGTCAGCTTTAATTGACTGTCTGATGCCTTGCTTTATTTTGTATTGCTATTACTATAACAAGGTAAGTGGGGCTAAACAACATGTAAAATAAGGAAGTGAATTTGGCTTATTAATCTAGTGACTGGGAACATAGACATCATGTTGCCAGTATAGCATTGTATCACACTGTGGCAGAGAAACAAAGAAGAAACTAGTCATAGATAAAACAGTGCACATGTAACCATTACTAAGAGATAGGGGAAAAAAAAGGGTCATGTTATTCATGATAACATGCTCCTTAGGAAACATATCCTGTCTTACTGACTTTGACACACTCTTAGGAGATAATGTTAATCTGTTCACAAGGGTGGAACATCCATGACCTAATTACCTTCACTAGTTTCTGACTCTTCAAAGCCATCACTGCAATATCAACACATGGAGGACTATGCCTCCAGCATATGATGTCTAGTAACAAGTCATGCCACCAATCCTACTAAGAATTTTCACACCATGACCTAACTGTGTGGACTAAGGTAACTTTAACACTTGGCTGAGTGACTAAAAGACCTTGGACACAGACAAGGCTCTGAAAAGGGTGCCCATATGTTTTTCCCTTTAGAAATTAAGATCACTTATATACGACTTGCCAGCATTCTCAGAGGCATAACAAATACAGAAAAAGTGTGGGATGGAACTATCCATACTTTCCTTCATTTTCCACTCAGGTTTTTAGAAATAAAATAAAAAATTTTAAATTGGGGTAAATTCAGAAGACAGAGAAGCAGGTATGTAACAGAAAGGGCTAAACCACATTAAAGTTCCATGTCATAGGTAAAGAAACATTGCCTTCTCCTTACCCTGATACAGGACAGAGAACCTCTACCAACATTCATCAGTCCATTCACACCTATATCTCTGTCCACAGTGGCCACAAATCCTCTTCATGGACTCATGGTTGCTTGTGAAGCAAGCCAGATTTGCTGTCACATTCTGATCTCACCACTAAAAGATACATTTTTCTGAGTCATCTTAATAAAACAACATGAAGATAAAGTTTTATAAAGCGGTATAGAGAAAAAGTCACAATTTTCCATGCTTTGTGATTCAGCATAATTAATTTAATAACTGTGTCAGATGAGGAGAGTAAATAAAGGAAAGGGAAGATTTGTGGTTACATATGGTCACTGAAGCATGTACAATTGCAAGGAAAAACAAATTACAAGGGTAGTGCTGGAAATAAAAGCATGGTGGGAAATAACTTTTGAATGCTAATTTGATTCTTCTGTTGAGCCTTAAAGTGGCAGTGTCTAGGAGTCCATTGTTTATATCCCCTTGCTTGTATTTTTAGCAGTTGTACAAACCGGTGTCTCTGAAAACCAATTAAACACCTTCCTGAATCTACTGGGAATTTCTCTTAAGTGGTTCTCTACCTGGGTCCTAGCAGGACAATCATTTCATTTACAACATCTTGCTGGAGAGCAGTTTCTTATCACCGGTATTTTCAAAAATGTCTGAAATTAATAAGTGCAGCAGAATCATAATAAAACCCAGCTCTCTTTGGACACAGGTGCAGGCTCTGGGATTTGCTTCACATTGAACACCAAGACTCTCTAAGATGAGCAGTCTGTGTCTCTTACTGAAGTTCTTAGATTAGCAAGGAAGGATTATTTCTGAGGAAAGAATTGTTTCTGAGTGACAGGATATAAGCTTGGGTCTCATGTCATAAATACATGCTTTGGAAAATAAATAATCACTTTCATTAAACTGGCAGATATGAAGTAATTTTTTTGACCTGTTAGGCAAAACATAGCCACATCTATCTTATTTCTATTGTTTCTTCCTCAAACAGTAACAAGGTATGAGCCTTGTTACTTGCCATATCAATTTCTCCACTAAAACAGCTGCTCTGTACACACCCAGACACTGTATTGTCAAAGCTGGCTACCACCCTCTACTTCTTGTCCTCAATGAGGGTCTACTCTTTGTTCTATTTGTTGCAGGGGCTTACCGACAGTGTTTATGGGATCCTGTCAAGGTCTCAATCACAAAGCACTCGCCATCATTGAGACAGTATGCTAGGTCCTTGTCTCGGCAGGGTTTGAAATGTTCAGATCGTTCAGTAGAGTATGTCGTAGTATCTGAAGAGGAGAGAAAAGAGGGAAATGCTATTGACATATATTATACTATAGACCACTTCTATCATTAGCTGGACATGTGATTCCAGGACTATGCAAAGGCAATATCAGGGGGATTGGAAACAGATAGCACCAATATTCAATGAAACTAACCTACACAGCTGAATTAAACTACTATATTCATTTATCTTATATTCAGCCCTTCATTTATAAAGGCTCTGTATCCTGGTATTCAACTAAGCAAAAAAGAAAAATATTCAGAGAAAATAACTTGAGAGTGAGCAGAAAGAAGCTCATCTATATTGCCAGCAACCCATAGGTGGAGGCCAGACGATCAGGAGTTCAACGAAGGCCTATGCTACATATTGAATTCAAAGATAGGCTAAGTTGTATAGTATTGTCTTTCTTTGGAAAACAACAATAACAACAACAACAACAAAAACCAAAACCAAAACCAAAATAAATAAATAAATAAATAAATAAATAAATAAATAAATAAATAAATAAATAAAAAGAACCCAAAGGCTGAAATAGCTAAAGCACTCCTAGTTTTTCAAGGTCCTGGATTCACTTCTCAACACTGCACACAAAATTAAACTGTAGCAGAACATTCTAGCATGGATCTTTAATCCTAGCACTCAGGAGGCAGAGGTAGGCCGATCTTTGTGAGTTCAAGGCCATTCTGGTCTTCAAAGCAAGTCCTATGACAGCTAAACCACCAAACAAATAAACAGTATATGTTCATACATGTTCTCCTCACCACTGTTCCCTAAACAAGAGCCAATGGCATCTATTTAAACAGCATTTGTATTATACTCTGCATCATTAGTGCTGGACAATAAATTATGTTGGAAGGAGTGCATAGGAGATGCAAACACTGAATCATTATAGGTAAGAGCTTGAACATCCAGTCAGAATCAAATGAATGTCTTGGGACCAATGATACCCTCCCACTACATTTTAACAGTGGAGTCACTCTGGGACAGCAGTTCTCAACCTTCCTAATACTGCTACTCTTTAATATAGTTACTCATGTTGTGGTAAACACCAACCAAAAATTATTTCTTTACTTCTTCATAACTGTAACTTTGCTACCATAATAAATTGTAAAATAGATATCTGATATGCAGGGTATCTAATAAGAGACCACAAGGGGGTCATGACCCACAGATTGAGAACCACCACTCTAGGCATTACCCCTAGAGCACACATAACAGCAAAAGTGGAATACAGTCAAATACAGTACAACAACTTTGGTTCAGTTCATTTTTAACTAACATGCTGTATGAAAGATTGAAACAACATGACATTCATTCCCTTTATTTTTGCCAAATGTTGTTAAACATTTGATCAATATATATCCTGATAGTTATGTGGAGATGCATGTCAGTTTGGGAGTGCACTGCTAATAGCTATAATTGCCCAATAGCTGTAATTTTTTCACATTCCCATTTCATTCTGTAATTAAAATGTCAATGCTCCAAATTCTGGAAGTCAGTCATATGTGAAGAATAATGATAGAAAATATTTAATGGTAAAAATAATTGTGATTTTCAGAATTCCTTTAAACATGTGCTTTTAAATCATAGTTACTTATATTTTTCACTAAGCTATACATGTATATCTGCATCCCAAATACTAAACAAGCCCTAAATATATGACTCCACTGCCTCATCTGCACATTGTTTTTGGTTGCAGATTTTAAGCAGCTGAAGCATTAACAGCAATTTCACTTCAATAGCCAAGAAAATATGTTTTTATAAGTAAAAGATGAATAAGTTATTTAGCATTTAATATTGTTGAATTTCCTTTGCATGGATGTAGGTTAGTCACAAGGTTTTGTACTACAAGATTTCACTCCAAAATCCACCCATTCTTTAATTCCATGACTTCCTGGTGGGCAAGTGCTAAGCCCTAATCAGAATAACTGGTACTCAGTAAAATATAGACAATAACTATGACCTCGCTAACATCACAAATCAATCAAATATCATGAATGAAAGATAAGATCACTAATGACCTCATTACAATGCTACTAATAATTATTGTATCTCTAAGAACAAAAAGAAATAGGTATGATTTCACAAGGAGGAATAGTCTTGGTACATTTCAGTATTGATGGATATTTCAATCTGATGACTTCAGAGTCTTCACTCATACGTTACGGGTAGATATTAGAAACAGGACAATGGGCCAGGTGGTGGTGGCACATGCCTTTAATCCCAGCACTCAGGAGGCAGAGCCAGGTGGGTCTCTGTGAGTTCTAGGACAGCCTGGTACACAGAGAAAGATCCAGGACAGGCACCAAAACTCAACAGAAAAACCCTGTCTCCAAAAACACAAAAAAACAGGACAATGGGAACTGTTTTCTGTTTTAAGATAACTTCCTGTTATGACTCACCACAAGATAAAGGCTCTGCTAAACAGACACATTCTGTTTTCTAAATCCTCCCTAGGGCAAAGATCTGTTATTTAGGTCAGTATGCACTATATAGTCATACAGAATCCACCTTCCTTTCTATGAGAAATAATTGACATGCAGGCATTCCAAGCAGAAAGTTCAGTATAAAACATTGAACAGTTGATGGCTTTCCCAACTGCTGAAGTATGCTGCTAATTCATGATTGGCTACTTAATTTCTCCTTTAATTTCTTATTACCCATTGATTGATATTCACTGATCATTTCTCTAAGAGCATCTTTTCATTAACATAACCTACAGCAGAAAAAGTAAGATCCTTATTTTTATAATCAGTGGTTTTAACAAGCTACAGACTCAGAGTGCAATACAATGGCAAAGCAATTACAATCAATTAATTTCCATCTGACAATTGCTGTCTCCTGGGGTTCCCATACAATTCTATCAATTACATTGCTGTCACAGTGGGAATCATCTGTCAGCACATTACAGAGGATCAGAGACCCCAGGAAGTGGCTCTGAAAACGTCCTGGGTATAAGAGGTAGCGAACACAGATTTACCATGTACTTGAACCATCTATACTCATAGCTTGAAGAATCATAGCATTAATTTCAAGTACTTTAACTGTTTTCCAAATGAACATTTTGATTATTTTGTAGAGCTTCATGTGATGGACCATGAGAAAGTACTGGATTGGCTACTTCTGTTAGTAAATCAACTGAAATTACCAGTAAGTTTAAAATATCAGCATTTACCCAAGCATTTTGCTGTGATATTCTTATTTTACTACTCACTGCAAAGCACAGGACTTGGGGACAAGGTAAAGACATATGCCTCATAAAGTAGAAGTTTGTTCTTAAAGTAATCATGCCAAAAACGAAGACTGACATGTTTCAAGATCATACTGCTATATGAACTTGACAACCACCCACCTAATCTTATGTTAAATAAGTAACATACAGAATACCAAAGCAACCATTAATCCTGCTTTCCATAATTTATAACCAAATGTTGCCTAGCATAAAGCAGTAGGCATTGTGAATAACACCACTAAAATTGATAAATCTGTTTATAAGTATGTATACATATCTGTCTGTATGTGTTTAATATTTAACAAAAATCATTACAGAACGCATTATATAGAACATAAAATAAAAATCAACTATCACATACCATTCATTATATTGTTTCTGTGCCCTAAGGTAGCACAACAGATGAGATCTATCTTCAGTTCTTTAAAATTAAATTCTTGGGTTACATCAGATAGCAGATAGCACATTCTCACCTATAAACTCAGCCAATACTTTTGGGACGTATTTATGTTTTTTAAAATTGCAGCACCATTAATATAATCCAATACACTAAGCTGACTATAAAGTGTGTGCTATAATTTTGGCATGTACTTAAACAAATTTATTTTTAGAAACATATAATTTGGTAATTTTAACAAAAAATTTATGCTATATTTATTTATAGATTTTTTTTTTGCTATATAGGGGGAGGACTTGGTAAATCAATACTTTTCTTTAAAAGATCTTTCATAGGGTCATACTCAATAGAGGCACATTATTAGATAGCCCTTTCTCATTTCATATCTGTTCATGAGTATCATATATGTCAGGACTGAGAGCTCTTGAGCACAGTAGGTTTACACCCCTCTGATCTGACTTCATGGATGGCTTGACAACAACATGCACACAGCACATGTTTGCAGGTCGATACATATATTTACGCTTGAGCATTTTTCTATGTTTATGTTGAAAAGTATGATTTCATTATTTTGTCATTATAAGAAATAAACTCAAGGGCTGGATAAATGGCTCTGTGGTTAAGAACACTTGCCACTCTTGCAGAGAACCTGAGTTTGGTTCCCAAAACACACATGGAGGCTCACTGTCTATAGCTTCAGTACCAGGGCCTCCAATACCCTTTTCTGGCTTTCTCAAGCACCAGTCACAGACGGTACTCACAGATAAATCAGGCACACACACACACATGCACCTAAATAAAATAAACAAATAGAAATAAACAAACTCGTAAAATATCTAGACAATTAAAGTTTAGTCTCAAGAAGCACCTGGAAAACAACTTAGGAGCCGGGTATCGTGATGCAAGCCAGTTGTCCTAAATAGTAACTCTATGAAGTCTGAGGCAGGAAGAAAGACAAAATTCAAAGATAGCCTGGGCAACGTAGAAAGAGACCCACATTTATCAACAATGACAACAGCAAAAAACATAGAAGCAACTTAAAATTTAGGTAAAGCACAAAGAATTTCATAAAAGTAAAGTTAATTCTATGGGATGGAGGGCAAAGGTGAAGAAAGCAAAACAAAAGTAAAATTAGGAAAGGATTTTAAGACAGAAGACCATGGAGGGCAGAGGAAGGATGAAGGCTTAAAAAAGTGCTAAGGTCTTCCAAGTATAAAGACAACAGGCCAAGGGCTCGGGGAAAGAAGGCAGGTTGGTGATTGAGGAACCTGACCACAGGGGCTGGGCAATTATCTGGACCACTCATCTGGCACTTGTTCCATGTGGTTTAATGGGTTTTCTTATTTTTATTGGGTTTTGATCTCTCTCCCCAAGG